TGTCTGTCTCTACACATCGACTCTCGTAGTTCCACTTAAGTTTGTTCTTTAGTCTTTCAATAACATTTCCTGTCTGTCTCTACACATTGACTCTTGTAGTTCCACTTAAGTTTGTTCTTTAGTCTTTCAATAACATTTCCTGTCTGTCTCTATACATCGACTCTCGTAGTTCCACTTAAGTTTGTTCTTTAGTCTTTCAATAACATTTCCTGTCTGTCTCTTACTTTTTTGCTATTCTTATGTATTTAAAATATTACAATAATGCAGTCATTTTACTATCAGGTTGCTTCAAAAATGAAATGATAACTGGTTAACAGCTGAAACTTTTGTGATTCCTTAATTTTTAATCAATTAGCACATTATTAGTTTACAAACTTTGAACCCAATCATTCTAAGTTTTACACCACCCTCTTACCCCCAGTTTGATCACCAAACTTGTATCATTCTCAAGAATGAACAAACTGCCAAAAGAAACACTGAAACTAACTCCTGTGTAATATAATATTGTAATTATGATACGTTAATACTTTTAACAATAGAACTTATTTTGTTTTTAAAAATTTTAAATATTTCTTAGGTATATGTTAATGTTTAAGTTAGATGGACTCACCTTAACAACCAGAGCATCTTCGAATCTTTCCGTTGGGAGCTAAAAACAAAAGCTTTTTTGTGAAATGAATATATAACCAAAAATAATAATAAATATTAACTTAATAATAATAATAGAAAAAAAAAGAAAGAGATATAACAGTTTTGAAACTATGACATTTGTATCCATGAGCAATAAAATAAAGATGAAACAGACTATTAACTTTTAACTATTAACAGTTGAAAAAGGTTTTTCACATTTCCACATGTCATATGTGTGTAACTTCTATCTCTCTTGAGAACGAATGTCTATCATACAGTTTATAATTTTTTTAGTAGCAAGGTTAAAGCATGCTGATCAGCCAAACAAACTGCAATACAGTTGTAAATTAACCACCTGGCTATACCAGGTTTCTCAAGGATAGAAGTGCATGGATAGCCTTAAAAGACCAAATGTCTCTTTGTTGTCTATAGATTAAGTTATTAGTTTTTACCATCAGTAATCACTTGACATATTTCATATAAAATACCTTCTGCTTTTCCTTGCTTTTAAAAGGTGTAAAACAAGTCAATCCATGTAGTTGTAGACTTGACTAGCATCACATTTAGCTAGTATTAACATTCAGATGCAAGAACCCAAAGTTGTTTCAACTTCAAAGCTCTTTAAGCAACCACCTTATAATTTATACTGTTATAATTAGAACGACTAGGTGCAAAAAATTAAAATTAATAACTTACCTCCCAAATTTTGTTAATGATAAGTTGTGTATTGTCTCTGGCCAAAGCTTTTATGTAGTCTTCTTGCTCTGTTCTATTAAGAAAAATGATAGCATTTAAACATTTCAATTAAGGTTAGGTTAGACATGTTAAAACCCTAAATGATCACAAATTTTAACCAGATTCCTAAAAGCAAATATTCATACCAAATTAGAATCTTGAATAGTACACATTAACATTGACTGTAATGTTATTGTAAATGTACATATGTTAAATCACATCAAAATGAACCACAGGATTAGAGAAAATAAACAGTTTCTGGAAGTTTCTTTAAAAATTCACTAATACATTTTAGACACCTTGGTTTTTAAAAAAGTACAAATTTGACAGTGATGATACACCCACATAAGTGATACAGTTAATACCTTTTAAACATACATTCAACCATTAAATGGAAAAACTTTATCAAATGGTGTTTTTAATATTGTTTGTAATATAATTATTGGTCAATATTTTTTTTTAAACACTATGCTGGATATGAAAACTTAAAAAACAATATTACTTTCTGTTGTCACGACAAATCAAGACATCAATAATATCCCAAACACTGTTAAAACAGTTAATTAGCATATTAATGTTACTCCATTAAAGTTTACTTAAAAATGGTAGTAACACGTGTAAAATTATATACACTTTATTATCAGACGTTCCTGTTGTCAAGACAAATCAAGACATCCCAACATTGTTAAAACAGTTAATTAGCATATTAATGTTACTCCATTAAAGTTTACTTAAAAGCTGAAAAATATTAATTCTTTATCACTGAATTTTCATAATATACTGTATAAATTAATCATACAGATATATTCACACACTTTAGTTTTAGATTTATAAATAAATGGTCAATAAACTAAATTTTCCAAGTGAATTGATTTTTTCTCTCTCCCTCTGTTGATTTTTTACTTCTCCAGGATAGTAAACTATAAAGCTTTTCATACCAAATATAACTGTTCAATTTCTCAGTTTTTTTTCTTTATTTGTTGTCAAGTACAAAGCTACACAAAGGACTATCTGTGTTCTGTCCACCACAAGTGTTGAAACCCCATTTTTTGGGGTGTGAGCCCTCATATTTACCACTAAGTCACTGGAGGCATATACTAACAGAAAAGTAATTAGATAAAGCCATTTGGCCCATTGATGTCACCAACATAACCTAAATATATCTTCTCTCATCCATAAAATTGGCCCATTGATGTAACCAACATAACCTAAATATATCTTCTCTCTTCCATAAAATTGGCCCATTTATGTCACCAACATAACCTAAATATATCTTCTCTCATCCATAAAACTAAGATATATTTAGGTTATGTTGGTGACATCAATGGGCCGTTGAGGAATAATTAAGTGTTAGCTATGGAAGTCAAGGTTCAGGCTGGTTTTTAGGTATAATATTTTCCCTGTTATAATTATTCACTTGTAAAATAGTTTGTTAGATGTGGTGTGTACTGGTAGGCTTGAGCCCCCTTTATATCTCTTTTAAAATAATTTTATGGATGAGAGAAGATATATTTAGGTTATGTTGGTGACATCAATGGGCCAATTTTATGGATGAGAGAATATATATTTAGGTTATGTTGGTGACATCAATGGGCCAATTTTATGGATGAGACTTTGTTTTCTCAACACTCCAACAAACCTTCCATAGAAAGTTTATCTAAGACTCTAATTTTTTTCTAAACACATGAATCAGGCCATCTCTACCCGGACATCCATGGCTCGTACCTCTACTATTTATGATTTCTTCTCCAAACTTATCCACACACCATTCCCACAAACCTTACCTAAGCCTCTAACAATTTTTTTAAACATAGTTTAAGTGTTTCAAACCAGAAATTATGTTAGTAGCCTGTCTTTTTCAAGTAAATCAACATATTTTCCTAAACAAAAAAAAGAGGACCAAAATTGAACACACTATCCCAATTTAGTCCTTACCAAAATTCATTAAATGTTGATGGTTGCCTCCCTACTCTAAACTCTACTTTCTCTAGAGATCCCCTAGTCTAACTGCTCTATTCACCGTTTCCAAACATTCAACTGAAACCTTATGGCTTTTATCAATCATTACGTTCACATTTTTCTCTCTCCACAACATTAATATTTCTACCCACCCACACACACACACACAAAAAATGACTTTGTAAATTCCATAAGCTAAAAAACACCACATTACATTTATCGATGTTGAAACTGAATTTACACAGATTATCCTATTAGCAAGACTGTTCAAACCAAGTCATTCTGCATTACGAAAGTATTTTTCAAAGAATCAGTTATTATTATCAACAAATTTAGAAATCTTACTGCTTATACAGTAATCTGTATCATGAGAAAAATAATAATGTATCCTATGAATAAACAAACCTTGTGGGATTGCAGTATTCATATTTTTCCAACCAGAAAGGAATCCATTTATCACAATCTCTTCTTTCCCCCCTGTCAAGCCAGTTATTAATCCACCTTTTGAGTTATTGCACAATTTTATAAAAATCTAAGCATAGACAACAAGGACCATTTCACTCTTCTAGGCTGTCCTGCACCATTGAGAAAAAGTAAAACCAACCCGTTATTATTCAGGAAATCGTAGACTCCCGTTGTAGAGTACCAGCCTCTACTACAGCTGTCAACAGCAACTTTTTATAAACCACTCACACTATCAGAAAGATAAAACTGCCTTAAACGGAGCCTTGCCTATCTTTTCCAAATATTAAACTTAAGTCCTGTGTATCTTCTCATCCTACCATCTTCAAAATATAGCACAAATAAATTATAGGTCATTATCATATACATCTTCTGGAAAAAGAGTGAAAATAAGGTCTTCACCTGTTCCTATAAAATAGCTCTTCTATACATGGAATTATCATTCTAGTCTTCCTCTGAGCCCTTTCCAATAAGTCAATATCCTATCTTAGGTAAGGATACCACAACTGTATCCAGTATTCCAAATGAAGCCTAACTAACTTACTTCACAAGAAGATTTCTATCTGAAAGTGACAGCTTTCTGGAAGTCTAGACACACAACATCAATAGAGCTACCATCAGTTACAGAACCAAAAGATTCAACAAATTATTCCTTACTGGCCCTGCCAACAGCTGTTCTAATGACTGCATTCTTAGGACAATCAAACCAGGGGTGGTATCCTACAGACATGGGAACTACACTAGATGAGAGAGTAGGAAGATGTTGCTCCAGCTTTGATAGATCCAGAATTCTCCATTTATACCCAACTACTGGCTAAATCTACCTATCATCACCTTTCAAGAATCCAACAATTTATGTACTCTTGAACCCTCTCTCCAATATCCAACTTTTCCTCGCTGTTTATGTTTGCTGCTATCTATGTCATGGCCACATTTAGTAATAGGTGTAGTTTATTACTGACTTAGGGCTGCACTTTTAAGGAACTCACCTTCAGTGTTTTATTTGATGTAAAGCTAGTTAAGAACTATCTGTCACTAATTTGGAAGCAAGTCAACAACACTTGGGCTACATTTTACAAAAGAATAGTGGGATTGACCATCATTTTATAGTGCTCTCTGCTGAATGGGCTAACATGATCAGCGATGCATTTTAATGGTTAGAGACTGCTTAAATGGATAATGAAGAAAACTTTAATATAAGTTTAACACAACAGCAAATGTACAACGTATCAACAAGGTTTTATCCTGATGATGACAAAAGATTCTCCCTAAAAATAATCTGTACAACCATAATTCATATGGTTAAGTTTACAACTAAATTTAAAATTTCGTTTACACTTAGTCATAAGTTATAGTTATTTTACACTGGGAACTAAGAAAAGTTGTAAAAATACTCGTCTATAAATTATAGTAAGTATACCTCAACTTTTAAGTTTAAAAATTCAAGTCAATTTATGTCAAATGAATCTGTCGCCAGTGTAAGCTGAGACAGTGACACTAAACATGACTTTTATTATACAAGTTCTCGATGGCTCACCTTAACAGTTTTGTATTAATCGGGTTTGGATCAGATACTAAAAGATTTCCAAGATCAAACTCAACATCAATGTCTTTCGAAACCGTCACAGGCTTAAATTTTTCTGCTGTCTCAGAGGCACGAGCCAACACTTTTTCCACGATTTCCGCCATATTAGTTTTTCACTAAACTCCACATGTGATTAAATTTATTTCCAAGTGATAGAGCAAATACATTATAGTTCTTACCGCCAGGTGAAAGAGTTTAAAGTATTTCTCAATATTTGAATTAAAATATAATTCAAACAGCAGCTTCACATTCATATTGTTTACGTAAAATATCTCGAATAGAAAAAAAAAAAAATAGCTAACCTACAGTTTTACTTTTTTCCTTTTTACATCATGTAATTGCTGTAATAATATGTAAAGTCTCCAAAGCATAGATGTGTTCTTATTCACAGACTTTTTATCTTGTCTTTTGTCAGTTAGGTTTTAAAATTTCACAATGTTTTTTTTCATTTAGATATTAGGTAAATATATAACATGAGGGGATATATTTAAGATAGATTAACAAATAAAATGCTTCCGGGTTGTCGATGTTCGGACTAACGATGGTTCACTGTATAAAACTACTAAACAATCATTGTAATGTACGTGTATTACCTTTGGCTAATATGTAGCATTAGTGCAAGTGATCCTGTATACAAGGGCTACAACTAATTACACGCAGAAGAACAATCATTTTTAACATTGCTATAATTTATCTGATTAAAGGTATATTAATTCTACTTACAGAAAAGAGAGATATCACAGTTTTTTGTTTTTGTTTTTTTTTTGTTCTCACAACTGCTCCATTGCTTATAGAAGTTGTTAGAGCAGTATCAAGACTTAGAGTGCTAGTGAAGAAATATTTTGTTTTATTTGTTTTCCTGTGTTGGTTTCAACTCTTTGCTGTCCATATTTGAAACTATTCTTGGAATAACAATAATGATAAAAGAATACAATATCGTGTATAGCAATTAATGAAAAACTACAGTAAACGGAACAAACTGTCAGAAGTCTGATATTAGAGAAACTAGTTTCGACACATTCGTGCGTTCTCTTCAGTCTCACGATGTCTTCTGGGAGGTAAAAAACTGGTCAACAAATGCCTACGTGACCCTTGACCTTGGAATTCACTTAAGGACACAGGAGGTCAGGAAGTTGTTGAAATTAGGCGATTTATCTTTTTATGTAGTTATTCGTTTTGTATAAAATTCTTGCATAATGTTTCCGAAAGCAATTGGTCAATTTCCATATTGGTTGTTGACTGCAACAACTGCTGGGGTAAGAAAGCAGAACAGAAACCAAAAATCCAAACAACAATCGCATAACACTGTTTGATTAGTCCAAGGTCCTAGTGTTACCTTAGATTAACAACGTCGACGATCCTTCCCTGCGCACGCATTCAAGGGAGATAAGCTTCAAATATACTAACTTGTACAAGTCTCTATACCATACTTTCAAACAATTATGATCTCACTGTTTTCTATCAAACAAGTATTGAAACGAGTTACATGGTTTCCTATACATTTTTAATACGGTAGTTATATTTCAAAAAAATATAATAGTATGCTTACTACATGTGAGAATTTGTTTGTTTAATTTATCGTTGAGCACAACGATACACAGTGAGCTATATCTGTACTGTGCCAACCATTGGTATCGAAAATTGTTTTTTTAGCATTATAAGCTGTCAGGCTTACTGCAAAGTCACTGGGGAGGGAGGCATATATGAGGAACGCAGCTTTTTAAATACCATAAGACTGGTACCCTAGACCATAAAGCTCCTGAGTTGAAAAAAAATGTTCTTCAAAGACTGTTCAGGGGAAATCTAAAGACTACAGCTTCACCTATGTTGTACCGAGAATGACCAGTCACGTTGTATATACATCGTATGCCGCTCTGGGTAAATGAGATGTTTCTTTGACACTGAGGAACCTGACATTTGGTAATCTGAAACTTATACTTCAACTGCTCAGTCGTTTCTATAACTAGATCGTCACCAATCAAATCTCAAAGAAGTTAGATAGAGCTATCATCCAATTTACGTTCTCTGCAAGTACACACATTTTGCTTGTGTTTAGTATTGAATAAAGATAGTTAATTTGTATATTATTGTGTCTAGTCTAGTTACTTCATTTTACATTGACTCAGTTATGGAGGAGTTTTAGTTACTCTTTGTAATCGATATTTTAAGCAAATCTCCTGTTAGTTAGTGGACCTATCAGATAGCTCGGTGGTTAGGGCAATCGACTCGCAACCAGCAAGTCACAGATTCAAAAACCCGTGGCGAACATATTTACCATTACAGCCATGAGAGCGTTATAATGTACTACCAATCCCACTATTCGTTTGTAAAATAGTAATCCAAGAATTGGCAGTGGATGGTGTTGACTAGTTGCCTTCCCTATAGTCTATCGCTGCTAAATTAGGAACGGCTAGCGCAGATAGCTCTCGAAATTTAAAACAAACCAAATCTAAATATGCCTAAATATACCACACTGATCCTGGGTTTTCTTCTACTGTAGTGTAAGCTCTTCTGTTTTATATTAAAAAGTTAACCAGTTCTCGAATGTTGTAGTTTCCAAAACTGAATAATTATAGCGTGTCTTTCTTTAAGTACACGCAAATTCGAAGCAGAGAACGCAATCCAATAGAAATTCAACATGTTTTGTCTGTATACATATTGTTACGTCTCTGTTTGTTAATTGATTTTTCCGTAACTTCGTTCCGACGAAACTTTAGCGACACAAGTCCTTACTTAATAAAACTGGTTTATTCTTTCTGAATATAACTTTACCGATACACTTATTTTCAATAGTCGCTCTTTTACAACGTTTTAACAACGAACGTTAACTTCAACAATACTTCCGACTGCAGTTCAATTACTCACTACCTACACACACATTATTGCGTCACGCCGTCACCCTCTTATATATATACGAGACTACCCTATATCTAGTAATCTCCCGACAATTCACGAAGGTACAAGATATTTCCAGAAAGCAGGGGGCGTGACACTAGTCACGTGACCTCGCTGACGCAACAATATATTGCACACCTCAAACAGGAAGATTACTTAGATTGACAAATAAACCATTTTATAGAAATCTCATTGAACTGACCGAAACATTTTCCAAGAAATGCATTTATTTTCTTTGTGTAATAAAGAGTACATTTATTATAGTTATACTATTTTATTGTTACTTATTAAACAAATAATAAATTAATTAAATAAAACAAATACTTGAGGGTTTGATACTGGTACGAAAACTTGAACCATGAAAATATTTCTAAAAATATCAGTGATATTAATTTTATAAAATAAAACTTAAGTTAATTACAGTTAATTTTAGTCAAATTCTGGCGCAGACATACCGCTGTGCCACTGTAGGGCTTGAACTAATGAACTTACAACGCTAGAAATCGGGTTTCGATACCCGTGGTGGGCAGAGCACAGATAGCCCATTGTGTAGCTTTGTGCTTAACTTCAAACAAACAAACCAACACTAGTTCAAGCTTATTTGTATTAGCTGTTACTGTCAATATCATTTTGACAATTTTTTATATAAATTATATACGGAGATAAAGTTAACTTATTAAAGAGCAGTTGTGTTCGATCACTTAGTTAATTAAGCGATGATACGCACTTCTGAAATCGTTAGGCTTCAAAATATAGAATATAATATATTGGAAAAATTATGAAAACCATAGCAAAGCTTAATAGAAATTTACAACACACATGTTAATACATGTTTGTTCACGAAATTATCTCAAACGTTTGAAATGGCGAAAAAAAAAAGGCGGGGTTTAATGTTATCACTACCTGTTCATCCTGGCAATAATCTCCTCCAATGTAAGTTGTTACTTTTTTTGTGAGTAGTGTTAGTAGGAAGTAATATTGTTAAGCCTCGCATAGTGCTGTGTGTTTATTCTTTATAAAATAAAAGTTATACATTTATTTTAATATTTTGCGACTATGTTATCAATTTTAAGAAATAATATGATGATTTGACTGTGAACGTATTTGCTATTTTGTCATGAAGTTAAGTTGAATTGTGAAGAGGTTTGTCAGTGTTTGAAGTTGAAGGCGTGACTCATGTGAACTTTGAATTTTCGATTCGAACTATCGAATGGTAATGCTTGTATTGTAATTTTATAATTACGAATTTTGGATTAGAGATCAAATAAAACCTAATGTAATTCCTATTTGAACATAAGGTACTTACATAACTTGTTAAATATTAAACTTATAATTATCAAAAGTAGCATTGAAACTGAAAGTGAAAGCAAGAACGATAAGCGTATGATATATAATTAAATTTCAATATTATTTTACAATTACAGAATATGTGAAAAATTTGACCAGTTGCACTGTAACAGTATAAGCAGTGTAAACTGTTTGTGTAAGGCCAAGTCTAGCTATCCTTCTGACACAGTGATAAGTAACCAAAGGTTCAAAATGAAGAAACAGTTTTTCAGAGTTAAACAGAGAGCAGACCAAACCTTCAATCGGTGAGTAATGCAAATTAAATTAAGTGTTATGCAATTAATTTCTATAAAAATAAGTGCAAGTGTAAAGAAGCCTTAGGAATTAAGGAAGACCTGATTCAGAAATCTCTTTTCCACAAAAAGTTTTCCAATTAATTAAAAGTTCAAGTATTTGTTTTATGAAAATACATTCCATAAGAAGAAAGATTACTGATACATCACAGTTTGTTGAGATTTGAAGTAAAAGTGACACTTCAGGCTTCAGCCAGTACTCAGGATTGTATCATTTATAGCAGAAAAGTTAACATTAAAAAATGGTAACTCATTCACTCATAGGCAAAAATAAATTGGCATTACTATATCACTGATTTAGAACCAACCCAAATTTCGTAAATTGGCTGAACCTCATGAGATATTAGGATTATATCCAAAAGTATCGCTAATAATGAGATACCTAGCTGATGAAACAGTACATTCTAATTTTTGTAATTAGTAATTTAAGAATAGTATATTTGATTAGCTACTTTCAGTACGGGGTTGACTTTTAGTTCCGATTTATGTAGATATCTTTCTTTGCTTAGAAGTTAAGATCAGTTAACTGTACATTCACAATAACATGTGGAATCAGTTTAAAACTAAAGGCTTCCACATTACATCAGTAAGCAAACTG